AACTTGACAAAAAGCCAGAGGTGATGGCTTAAGGCCTTCTCAAATTTTTCTTCAGCATGTGCACAGCGCTACACACGGGCATGACTTTCTGGTTTCCCAGGAATATATTATGGACATTTCATGCCTAAGCTTTTCATTTTAAGGTTTTGGTTAGTTTTTTATTTGCTTGAACTGTTATCTATTGCCTCAGGCAGCAATGACTTTAAACAGCTGACTCTAAAAATTTTTAGCAAATGCCCCTGGAGTAAAGACTTTTTGCACTCTGAGTCAGGTCAAATAAAAACATCCTTGCAAGTGGGGTCTTCTAAGAACTACCAGACACTGTCCCCCACTCCACCCAATGAAAATATTTTGGGAAAGAGGTTTCGAAAAAGTTCCTTCCTGTTTTGACTCCTTTGGTGGCTGCCAGGCTGCTGGTTTTCATCATGATTTTGAATTGTTTGTTTTCAAGGATATTAAGAAGCTAAAGAGAGGCAGATGGGAATGCTGCAAGTTATAGTGCTCTGAAGTTCACTGTTCTTACCAACAGTTATCCATTTTTTTCTTGACTAAATTCTTCTTGGGTTGCCAGGCACAGTGGCATGCACCTGTAATTCCAGCTACTCAGTTTTTTTGGTGGGATGGTACCAGGGATTGAACTCAGGGGCACTCGACCACAGAGCCACATCCTCAGTTCTATTTTGTATTTTATTTAGAGACAGGGTCTCCTTGAGTTGCTTAGCACTTTGCTTTTGCTAAGGCTGGCTTTGAACTTGTGAATCCTCCTGTCACAGCCTCCTGAGCCTCTGGGATTACAGGCATGTGCCACTGTGCTCAGCAACAAACCAGCTTTTAATCCCAACTATTTTACCTTCTTCTAATTTCCTTAGTTGCTTGAATTAATTTAGACACCTATTTTTAAAATAAAAGCCTACTTTAATTAGTGGCTCAGAAGAGTAAAGAACAAAAGTGTATTAATTGAAAGTTCAAGATTAAAATCTTGAGGTTTCATTATTAGGAACTATGTATATAAGGATAAAAATATCTTCTAATCAGAAGTAATATTCTAACATAAGTTTATCCAGCTTTCATTTAATAGAAACTTCTTCATCTCATTTTTACAAGTATCAAATTCACTTTTTCATACACGTGAAAGAGAAATTCTAAATTATTTAGCAATAATATGCCTTATTAGGAATTTAATAAAAGCTGTAGCCTTTCTCTAAGAAAATGAGCATATATATACATAAATCTGTTTATAATTTCCAGAGATTATTGGATACTGTGTAGCCTACAAGTTTAAAAAAAAATTATTGAACATAAAAATTGTGATTTTGATGGCAAAATACAGAACACATTCAAGTAATTATACTTCCTCATTTTCAGTAGGGCAATGATAATTTAACATTAAAACATGCATTGGTGATGTGCAACTAATAAACTTTTTATTTCAAAAGTTGATTTGTAAATTAGTTACTTAAAATGTATTACATATTTTTTCTAATAAAAACATAAGCAATGGTTAGAGACTATTAAAATTTAAGTCTCTTAAGTATAGGTACTCATTTTGTCTTTGTATTACAATATCTATCCAATTAAATAGCATATAAAAAATTCCCTGGTAGCCCTTTATGAAACCTATTTCATTTATAGAAATGCACTAGGAAAATAGGAAAAATATTGAGGCAATGACAGAGATCAAATAAACAACAAACCCAAAAATAAAATAATAAAATGAGGTAAAAAAGGAAAGATAAAATAGATTTTTAAATTATCTGTTACCTGAGAGACTGGTTTAATTATAACACATATATTTGAACTTATGGATTTCTTTTTATTGTGTTAAATTTTACTTCAAAACTAGTTTCTTCTTAATACAGGACATCTTTCTATACTGTGCCATGGATGAGGTCATTTTTTGACCCTAACAATTTTTAAATGGACCAGAAGAACAGAGGGGATAAAATGTTTTGCCTGCAGTGACTGGAAAAAGGTTGAAAGAAGTTATTTGGGAAGTAATGAGGGGGGCACTATTCATAGAGGTTTTATGTAATAAAATAATTTACTATTTGTTGCATATATTATACATCTTACATAATAAAATATATCTAAGTCAGAATAAAGGTAAGGAAGCTAGTGTGAACATAAGCAACAGAGGGAATGTGGATTCCATTGCAAAACAAACAAACAAAAAGCAGGTGGAGGTTGTAAAGATAAAATTCTGCTTCAGTTTTTTGGTTACCTCATAAAGAATTATTATGCTAAAGATGGGGAAAACTATAGTTTGATGCTATAAATATAAAGGGACAATTGTAATATTTTGACTGGAATTGGCTATTAACTACTTTTGAGTATAAATTATTTTATAAATTTATCAAAATTTAAAATATACTTTTAAGCAGGCTTTACAACTAAAATTATACTTCTTTTATTAAAATTTTTTTTTTTTTTGTAGTTGTAGAAGGACAATATACCTTTATTTTTTTATGTGGTGCTGAAGATCATACCCAGTGCTTCACACATGCGGGGCAGGCACTCTGCCACTGAGGTATACCCCCAGCCCAAAATTATATTTCTTTAAAGTTTTTTGTTTTTTGTTTTTGCAGTACTAGCAATGGAACCCAGGGCCACTGAACTCTGAACTCTGACCAAAATCAGGTAAAATCATGAGAAATATGAAAAATTCAACTGCATTATCATTGAATATGTATAAGCTGTGGCCCTACCATATAGGCTAGTTATAAAAAGAGTATAGGATTCCCTTCAGTTAAAAAAAGCTTACAAGTATAAAAGATCAATGGAATGACCTGACCTTGTCTTCAGGACAGGACTTCAAGACATTTATATTGCCAAAGCAAAAAAGGAGTGAGCTATGACTTCAGTGATAGGCTCCCATATGTTATACCATGTAAAGATAGGACTTAAACCCAGGGATATGGATTATATGCCAAGCCGTCTCCCTTTTTCAAGTTTGGAGTTTGACTCTCTAAGTGACAATAAACAGAGATTCAGTCTCACACTCTGGCTGAAGATATCTGTCAATAAGCCACCTCAACTAATTGAGAAAGTAATTAATTGTCTCCCTAAAAAACTGTCTTTAGCTTACAGATGTAAATTAGGTATAATGATGAGATAAATCAAAACTCTGGTAATAATAATTTTGGGTTAACATAAACAATGAATTTTTTTTTAATTATTTGTAACAATGCTTAAGAGAATTTAGCTTATATCACTCCTATTAAATATAGGTAATTAATTCATAAACACTTGTGATTTTTTTAAATCAGAATCTTACTAATTTTATAAACAGTATCAGGATATTTAAAGAAATACATTTTGAAGATATCTGTTTAGTGAATTAGGTTTATACAAAATGACTTCAATACTTTAGGTTTTCTTTATAAGCAACTGAGGTATGGAAAAATCAAGCAAAAAACATTAAACTCAAAGGCAGTTAAAACTTTAAGAAAACAGTGCTTTCCTAGCATGCCTAAGGCCCTGGGATGTAGTACTGCAAAAAAAAAAGTTTAAAGAAATATAATTTTAGTTGTAAAGGCTGCTTAGAAGTAAATTTTAAATTTTGCACATATAAGAGGAAGTGAGGGGAAAGGGGAAAAAAACGAGAGAGAGAAATAAATTACAGTAGATGGGGTAGGGAGAGAAGATGGGAAGGGAGGGGAGGGGAGGGGAGGGGAGGGAAGGGGAGGGGAGGGGGGATAGTAGAGGATAGGAAAGGCAGCAGAATATAACATACACTAGTATGGCAGTAGGTAAAAAAGTGGATGTGTAACCAATGTGAATCTGCAATATGTATATAGGGTAAAAAGGGGAGTTCATAATCCACTTGAATCAAATGTATGAAATATGATATGTTAAGAACTTTGTAATGTTTTGAACAACTAATAATAAAAAAATTTTGCTAAATTTATAAAATAATTTATATTCAAAAGCAGTTAATAGCCATTTCTAGACTATGAAATCATAAAATATAAAATCTCAAAATTTTACATAAGATTTTTAAAGATTAAAGCACTAAAAACAAATCAGTCATTGTGAGTAGCAACTTCTAAGAATCTTTTATAAACAGTATATGAATAGTAAAAATTTAGAGAGTCACAAAAGTATTTAAGTAATGATCCTGAAAACAGACTATATGAAGAGATTAACTTGAAGCACACAGGATGTGAGCTTCTACTTTCCACAGTAAGATAACTAAATACAACACAAACAAAATAGGCTACTCTTCCTTAAGATTTTCCAATCTAGATTCTCAACTGCACTGCTCTTGGGATTAAAGAGGAAAGGATTAAAGGATTTGTCTTTTAATGGACTGTGGAAAAGCTTAAAGTTAAAAGACAGGCTAATTAGAAAAGTCAATAATCAATTATGAAATATGAATTGTGGTTACATGAAATAACAGCTTAAAAATTTAAAAAATAAGCAACTTTAAAATGCTTAGATGTTGCTTAAAACATATTATACATGTAAATATGATTATCCATGTTAGTGTCTTAAGACAAAATTTTAAGTCCTATAAGTCCTAACCGTACTGATCTTTCAAATTTCACACATTATACTCTATGAGACTTAAGGCAAAAGTGATATATAGTTCTACTAGATCATAAGCATAAAAGTAGTACTTTACACACTTGGGAAGGCCTAATCTTAGCTTCTTCTGAATCTGCAATGATCATCCTTGCAATTATTTCCCCTTCCTTCCCATCCCATGTCTTATACCATAGGATTCAAATTACAAATGAGACTCTAAAAACATATATGCCCAGATTTCACTTTCTTCCTAGTAAAAAAAAATATAGGCCTGTTAACTATCCTGGATGACTTTATAACTATAAATTACTCTTCAAACACTATTTTTTAAAATTCTTGAGAAACTAGAATGGCATTAACTGTCTCCACCCACTTCCCACTACATCATACCCTTTGCTTTCCCACCCCCAGATGAAGGTTAGGTTGATAAATGGATTTGGAGATGGAATAAAGCCAGACATCAAATAACTTACTTGAAATCCATCTCTTACCTTCTGTACTTAACCCTGGACTTGATGTGAACTTGGCTACATCAACAATTTTTACAGCAAATTGTTGCCCAGTTTCTCTGTTGATACATCGTCGTACAACACTGAAGGGACCCCTAAAAAACAAAAAGTCAATTTTAATTTATTGACTCTCTTATGTTCCTCTTTCATAGCAGCATCTTTTTATGTTTCATTAGATATACTACATAATCACCAAGTACTGTAGACATACTACATAATCACCAAGCCATTCTATATCAAACTCCTGATGGAATATAGTTTTCAAAGCAAAAATTTAAGTAATATAATTTGAGCATATTTTTCTGTAATTCATGAGGCAATTAATCATTTTAAAATATTATTAAACCAGATAAAATAGAAGCTAAGTTATTTGCTATTTGAAATCATTTTTTGAAAATTCTACATAATAATTTTTTCTTATGTTCAAGGCAAATAGTCGTCATAATATTTTATATAGATTATCAATACCTTAAACAAAATAAGTGAGGTCTATAGCAGTGGTATTATGAAACTGAAGATCATTCTTGACACCTTCCTATCATCTTACCCACTACTTATCTTATACGCACTAACAAGTCCTACTGAATTTACATCAAATATCTCTCAAACCTGTCCACTTCTCTCCATGTTCATATCCTAGTTTGAGCTACTACTATCTTTTGCCATGACAACAGAATTATTTCTGCCATTCATTCTTACAGTACTATTTAGCTTATTTATTTATTGAGGTACCAGGGATTGAACTCAGGGGCACTCAACCACCGAGTCACATCCCCAGCCCTATTTTGTATTTTATTTAGAGACAAGGTCTCATTGAGTTGCTAGCACCTCACATTGCTGAGGGTGGCTTTGAACTCACAATCCTCCTGTGTCAGCCTCCAGAGCTGAGGGGATTACAGGCATGTGCCACTGCACTGAGCATTTTTGCAGTACTATTTTAAAAATGAAAATCTCATATTATGTCTCTGCTTAAATCTGAGAGGAGGGGGAGGGAGATGGAGATATGGGGGGGGGAGGAGGAGGAGGAAGTATTTACAATACGCATACCTAATCAAGAAACAAAATACATAAGTAATTCCAAAATAAAATAAAAAAAGGAATACACTCCAATAAAAATTTGGCCAAAAGGCACTTCATGCATGATTTGATCTCCAGCAATCTCTCCAGTCTCACTTGAATTCACAGAGACATCCTTCATCCTCCTTAAATTTCAAATTAGAATTGCTTTAAATTGGAAAGGAAATAAGGAAAGGAAATAATTTCTACCAGCCAAGTCACTGGTCCAGTTGTTTGCTTACCCAGTCCTCTCCTCAATCTAAAGTAGTGATTCTTTTTTTTAATGTTTATTCTTAAGTTTTAGGTGGACACAATATATTTATTTTACATTTATGTGGTGCTGAGAATTGAACCCAGTGCCTCATGCATGCTAGGTGAGCGCTCTACCACTGAGCCACAACCCCAGCCCCAGTGATTCTTTTTTGTTTGTTTTAATTAGTTACACATGATAATACAATGACCTAGACAATAGTGGTCACAGAGTTGCATCAGGTGAGATGCTTTTTTAAATGCCAATGTTCAGACTGGGGATATAGTTCAGTGGTACAGCATTTGTCTAGCATACATGAGGTCCTGGATTCTATCCCTAGCTTTATATAAAAAAAAGCCAGTGTTCACACTCAGGCAACACACACACACATGCACATAAACATTGTTTTTTCAGATTAAGTCATCAAATATCAGAACTCAACATAATGCAAAGATTTGTGTGTGTTTGAATTGACTATGAACACAACACAATAGCAATGTACTGCAGTAGTTTATTTGAAATATGGTATAATTCACTAAATACAAAAACATACACATGTACCTATGTATATTTTTCACCTCTTTGGGAGAGGGAACAGACAAAACAATGCCTTCACACAGGTAGAAAAGGTATAGCTGGATGTATGTGCTCAATAGCATATATAAAAAAAATTCTTCATTTACACAAGGATATTTGTGATACTGCTTGCCTTAGTTTGTCTTTTTTTTTTTTTCAATTAGAGGACAAACAAATGAATGTAATTTAACCTAGAATTAAACATTTATCCTAAATCACATGAACACCATCAGGAGGATATCAACTACACCACAGCTTCAAATCTCTCTTCAAATGACCTAACAAAGCTAACCTGGAAAGAAAAGAAAGGGAAATAATGTATCTTTCAAAACTTAATGAAAACAAGACCTTTTCAATAATCACTCAAAAACCCTTCAAAGATTTTCTTCTGTAACAATATAACAAAGTGAGGCAGGACTCCCACAACTGTTTTCATTCTCCACCTGGATATCTTACTTTGAGGATTCATTCTAACCATAGCAAGCAATTTCAGGAAATGCTTAACATAATTGGTTTTTGTCCACACACAAACCCTTGGGACTCTATTTATATTTACATTTGTGTAGTGTGCTTCAATTCACTAAATTATTTTGGAAACTTTCCAAGATCTGTATATGGGATTGTTCATGGAGATATGTATGTGGGATTGTTCATGGTCCATCGAATCAATTCTTCACTTTTTCCTGTTTGAACAAAGCTGAGGAAGAAGGCACAGCTTCTCTCTCTCCACCCTTTTACTAGGAGTAAAATTAAGAAAGCCAGGGAGAGAGGAAAGGGAATATTGAAACAACAAAACACAGAAACTTTTTTAAATCCATGAATTTATATCCCCAATTCTTTAATTTTATAATATGAGACAAAGAAAATAAGTGTTATCTATGAATTATTCAAGACTCGAAGACAAGTCACAGTAAAGCATTTTAAGGGTCAGTTGTTCAATGATATCCGGGGGCTACAAAAGTGAACCAAATTTAATGCCCTAAAATGATATTAAGACTTACTTTAAGTTTTTATTGTTGTTGTTGTTTTGTTTGTGTGTGTGTGTGTGTGTGTGATTTCATCTCCGACTTAAAACTCAGCAGAAACTATTTTTTTTGTGTGTGTGTGGTACAGGGATTGAACCCAGGGGTACTTTACCACTGAGCTGAGTCCCCTGTCCTTTTAAAATTTTGAGACAGGGTCTTGCTAAGTTGCTTAGGACCTTGCTAAGGTGCTGAGGCTGGCCTTGAACATATGATCCTCCTGCCTCAGCCTCCTGAGTTGCTGGGATTTTACAGGCATGCATCACCATGCTTGGCAGTAACTGATAAAAAATTTAAAATTTAGCTTGGTCTCCCATAAATGAGAGAGGGTGATGAAGTGTGTGTAACTCTCATACTATATTATACTTATTAATTATATTTGGATATCAATTTACAAAAGAGAAAAATCCAGGGGCTTAGGTTTCAGTCTGGCCTGTACCCTTTTTGATGCTTGAAATTTCACCCCCCAAATTTTAATTCTATGGTACAATAAATCCTTGGGTATATGTGTGGAGGAAAATATTGATATAGTTTGTAAGCCATCATCATAAATTACCATCTTTTTCATATTTCCACTAATTATGAACCTAGGTTATTGAACAAGTGCAATGATAATTGATGGTATTTCAGATTTTATATATATATATATATATATATATATATATATATACACACACACACACACACACATATACACACACATACATTTTATTATATCTACTTTATTATATACATTATATATACATATATATTATATATATGTATATATATTTTATATGTATGTAGATATATAAAATCTGAAATTATATATATATATATATATATATATATATATATATATATATATATATCATACACACACACATACACATATATATTTTTATTCACCTCCTTACAAATACTGACCATTAACTGGGATTATAACCTAAGGTTCTACTTTAGGCAGATGGCTGCTTACAGAAATCTATATTTTTAGGTAAAAGGCCAATTAAACCAGAATATAAGTGAGTATTGCTGTAAAATCTCCTAAAGTTTTGAAAAGAATACAACTCTGTCCCTATACAGACACAGAACTATCTCCTCTAGTTTTCATTTGTGAAAAGAAAGGTTAAGTCTAGATAATAATTCAGATATTGAAGGTAAATATATCAAAATAGAGACTAGAATTAAATGAAATTATGTTAGAAATGGTGCTAGTGTGTTAGTTTCTGGAATAATAGGCTAGACTGAGCACAGTGCATCTAATTTATTTCCCTCCCCAAGCCCCACTAAAACATCAAAGGGTTTTTAAAAAGGACTGGGAGAGTAAGACAGGAGACAATTCTAATAATCAGATTTGGGGGTCAAGGCAGAAGATGAAGGGATGGTAACTGACTCAGCTGACTTGGGAAACTTGAACTGCAAATAGAAAATAAGGAAACCAATTCAGAATCAAACCGATTTATACTATAGAATCTTCAAGAATCTCACAAATTAACAGCACCAGATAATTTTAAAGCTAGAAGCAAAGAGACAGTATGATTAAAGTAATAAGATTTGAATGAAATTTGTTAGGGATTGTTAGATCTCTTTCAACTTTATATCATGGATAACTGCCCCTCAGTCATCCTAACAGATTTACTCTCTAGAGAGTATAAAACAGGGTCACAGGGCAAGAAAGATAAGGCCAATGAGAAAGGGGGTACTATACAGAAAGCAAGGGAGGATGTGATCACATATACAAACAGTCCCCAGTTCCTTTTCACTTAACAGAGGGAATGCTGGAAGCCAGATCTTTACCCGTAAGATAGGAGATGACAAGACTTTTTCTGCTGAATATCTGAACAACCAAGTGGGAAAGATATAAAGATAATGACATAAAGTTCCCCAAATTGCTCAACTAGATCACCTGCCAGTGAAACCACAGTCAAGAAGTTGCACTTGCACTGCAGAGTCCTCAATCAGCTTTCAGGTCCTCTGTGGCATGGTTTCCAACTTCAGCACTATTATCATTTTGAGCTAGATATTTTTTTTCTTTCATGGAAATATCATTTGCTTTATACCCATTGGAGGTCCCCTCCCTCTAGCTATGATAATCAAAAATGTCTCTAGATGTTGCCAAATGTCCCCTGTGGGGCAAAACTGGCCCCAGTAGAGAATCACTGCTCTATTACTAATCATGAGTAGACAACCAAGGCTCCTAAGACATCTG